CTGTGTTTTATTATTGTTGGTAGTGGTGGTAGTTTTTGTTTGCCAACAAAGGCAAGTCTTAACTGAGCACTTACCTTCATACAGCTAAATAATTTTTATGTCCTTTTTACAGATGAGGCAACTGAGATCCAGAAAGGTAAGATGTTTAATATAAAGTTAGTGAAGAGGTGGATCTTGGCTCCTGGCCCAATTTTTTTTTCATTAAAAACTGACTCTTAGGTTCTAAATGAGAAAAAAAAGACAAGTTAAATATAATCATAAATTTAACCATATTATAGTGGTGGTAAAGGCAAATGACAGCATATAAATTTGTCACTGCATGAAAAGAAAATGTACCAAATTTTCATGATGTGAAGGAGACTAAATTATATCATATTCCAGTAGAGAAGGGAGATACATTAAAATAAACAGAATCAAAGACCATTTGATTTGCTGTGCCCATATCTTACTATATTGCTCCTCTTTTTTATTGGTTTTATTATTTTTTTAAATACATGACAACAGTGGAATGCATTACAATTATTACACATATAGAGCACAATTTTTCGTATCTCTGTATATAAAGTATGTTCATGACAATTTATGAGATTATACATGTACTTTGGGTTTTTTTGCATTACAATTCTCAATACACATATGTACCACAATTTTTCATATCTCTGTTTGTATATTATAAGGTATGTTGACACCCAATTCAAGTCTTCATGCATGTACTTTGTATAATGATGACCATCACATTCCACCATCCTTGCTAATCCCCTGCCCCCTCTCTTTCCCTCCCACCCTTCTTCCCTATCTAGAATTAATCTATTGCTCCTCTTTTAAATAACTAAGAGGAATTCAGATTAAGCTTTTAATTTTCTCAGCAATAACACTTTAAGATATAAGGTAACTTCTGTTAAATACTTAACTGGAATCTTCCTTTACTTTTACAATACTTTAAAATAACTAACCTTGATCCCAGTCTACCACAGTAATGAGACAATAAAATTCTAACTCTTTTTTGAAACCCTACTATATAATACAAGACAGCTTGTGTGCAAACTCATTGGTGAACATGATCAATTATTTCTAAGTGGTCTGTAAAGAAAACAAGCAAATAACAATAGTTTCAAGTTTGAACAACACATATATTTCTTTTTTACATGGCAATTTAATATGAAACCATCTATGATAATATGCATAATGTATTTTGTAAAGGTATATGGCCTTTTCTAATACAGCATGATAAAAAACAAACAAACAACAAAAAAAAAAAAACCAGATTGAATCCTAACCTCTCCCATTTATTTGTGAGATACTTGTTTTAAGTGCTAGGGATTGAGCCCTAGGCCTTACACATGAGCTCTACTACTGAGCTACATCTCCAACCCTCTTTTGGTCTTCTGAGTCTTGATATTCCTATCTATGAAACTGAACTGATACTTCTTTACAGGTTTATTGATGAGGTGGAAATAAGAAAGAATATAAAATAACCAGTATAGTATATGACAATAGTATATGCTCAGTAAATATTAATGCCCTTATTGTCTTGAAAATGAAATATACATACATATGAAAATCTGTTCTGAAAATACCCAAATTATAGAATTTAAAAGGCAATATCAGTTTTACAATTACAAAACATTTTTGAAATGCTTCACTAGAGCTTTTCTCTGAGCATTGCTATAACCAAAGCTCCAATGCAGCTACAAAGCCAATAGAAGGAACACATCCAACAAGAATGGAACAGTCTCTTCCTCCAAGCCATTAAAATCAAGCTGGAATGAGAGGCCTAGGTTTTTGGTTTTTTTTTTTTTTTCCAAAGGCACTGTCCTGAGCCAGGAAACCAGGGTTGCTGCTTTTTAATGTGTCAATTCTGACAGTAAAAAGGGGTGGAATGAGGAAAAAAAAATGGTGTCTGAGTTTCTCCATGCCAGCAGTGACAATATAACCTGTTGCTCACCTCCATTTCCCACTTTGAAAATGAGAGTCAGATAGAAAGTGTGATTTGAAATAAAATATCAGGTGTATGACCAGCTGAGCTGGACTTCAGCCCCTTCCTTGATCAAGACATCAGTATAGATCTTAGTGTTTCTGATGTCCGTATCTGTTAAAAGGACATCAATCAAGGAAACTATCATATATCCTTTTTTTTCCAATCTTAGCAATGGTTTACAGTATTATTAGAAATAAGTTTATGAATATATACTGTTGATATCAGTATCACTTAATTAACACTTAATAAATCACTTAATTTTTTAAATTACAATGTCCTCAACATTTACATATGCTGTACTTCAGATAACTAAAATACAATGTCAAAAAGCTCTGCCAAAAAATGAAGGCATGGAAGTGCTATCTCAATTTCCATTAAGTTGTTTGCAAATTTTAGAATAAGAGAATTCTGAGTCCAGAAATGTTTTCAGAGGTAATCCAGTTCACTTTCCACCTTTATAAAAGGTTATAAAAGCACAAAGAAGTTAATTGCCTAAGATAATCTAGCAGAACAAGGACTGGAATCTGGCCAAGAAATTCTAATTAAGTAGACTTTTCACCATATTGTAGATTTCAAAAACTTTTAGATTGAAAATTATCAAAGTGATTGGTAATTTTTCTTGAGTAAGTTATTTTAACTCATTTGGAGCCTGTTTTTTAAAGTCTATAAACTGATTTCACATATTAAACATAAAAAAAAGCAAATTTTTCTTTTTCGAAACTGTAAATTATATTGAAAAAGTTATTTGTCTATTATATTTACTCACAATACTTAAAAAATTATCCACTTTAAAGATTATTTTCAATACATTCCAAAATCTTACACTTGATTCTTCCAGCCACCTACTCAAAAGGGTGTTTTATACACCCCAGCCATCAAAAGGATCTTTAGAAATTGGAACACAGTTTAATATGTATTTTATATTATTTTAAATTATACAAAATTAATTTAGTATATCTACAGAGATATACTTCATATACTAAAACAAAAAGATAACTGAATTGCTCATGTTGCTGATACCCTATATTAATGCCCATAATTAAAAGCTAGTATTTTGCAAGTTACCCTAATTGCCTTAATTATGATTTCTTCTTTTTTTAAATATTTATTTTTTAGCTTTAGGTGGACACAATATCTTTATTTTACATTTATGTGGTGCTGAGGATTAAACTCAGTGCCTTGTGAATGCTAGGGGAGCACTCTACCACTGAGCCACAACCCAGCTCCCTTAATTGTGATTTCATTTCAAATGGTATTTACTGAGCAAAAAAACTACTGACAAAAGGCATGCTGAGAAAATGTGTAAAATGTGTCATATAAATAATTAGTATCTTGGGAAAGCAGAGAAAGATAAACACACCCTTAGAAAATGGGTAAAATCAGGATAGCAGAACAGCACAAGTAACCACAAGGAGACAGAAATTATTCACATTAGGAATGTGAACCAGATTGGAGAGAATTTAAAATCAAGATGAGAAAAAGAAGTTTCCATGTTCACCATAATAAAAAGAATAATATTACTTGAGGTTTTACTTCTATTTTCTAAATGATTTAATTTTTTACCCTATTAACTAAGGAGCATCTGTTGAAACATTTATTTGTCTAATGTTTGTTAAACTTGTTCAAATTTTATAAAACAAGAACTCACACGTGGCTTAAATCAGGATGAATCCTGATGCAATTTCTATGACAGACAAAAATGCAAGAATTTGGATATTACCAGAGTCCAATTATTTAATGGAATCCACCATGGAATACCTTAAGAAACAAATAATTTAAATAGGTAGTAAAAGATAGGTTATTGGAGCAAAATACTACTAGTCTCATACAGCTTTTAGCCAATCTTTTCAAGCAACTGTCAATTTTTTTTTTTTTTTTTTTTTACTTTCCTATAGGGAAAACCAAGAGTGTCCTTCAAACAAAACTATTAGAAATATGTGCATTTAGGGCTCGGGTTGTAGCTAGTGGTAGAGTGTTTGCCTCTCAGGTTTGAGGCCCTGGGTTCGATCCTCAGCTCCACATAAAAATAAATAAACAAAATAAAGATATTGTGTCCAACTATAACTAAAAAACTTAAAAAAATAAAAAGATAGCATTAAAAAAAAGAAAAGAAAAAGAAATATGTGCATTTAACCGACCCCTGACCCTGTCTTTTTTTAAGCCAGGTAAAATTTGGTTTAGTGTCCATATTCATCCATGGATTTAACAGAGCCTTAATAAAAGGATTTAGATGGTAGCACCAATTCGATTGTCAAAAGGTACATTATCCAGTGTAGTAGTTTAGTGAACACAGAATCTCAAGAGGTTGTCTCCCAAAAATTAGACTAAAGATCCATGTTCGTTCTCATTTTCTCCCCCTCCACCTCTTCTGACACTGTAAAATAATTGCCAAGACCGCTGCCAGCACCAACCACAATAACCACATTTGCTCACTGAGTTAATATTTAGCAGGTGCAACAAGGAAGTACCATCCTTCTCATCCTCTAAAACTGAAAGGGATCACCTCGAACCTAAGTTGTCTCTTAAAAGGAAAAACAAAAACGATAGTACGACTGGCAGGAACTTTCTCCCGAGTGTAAGAGCTTAACAGAACCGGCAGAAAAACGGGGTTCACAGGGCCTACCTTTGCTCCACGGCGAGTCGTGTGGTGAGCATCAGCCTGGAATTGGTAGATATACCCTTCCTCACCAATGGGCATCTCCCTCGCCCACTGAAGCGCCAAGCCTGCGCCGGACCCCGCCCGAGACTCGGTCCTGCATCTACCCTCTCTGGCTCTCGCGGAGAGTCCGCCTCCCACATTGACCCCAGAGAAAGCTCGGGTGCTCTGCAGCGAGTGAAGCGGAGGAGGAGACCCAGAGTCTCAAGCTCAAGTTGGGGGCTCCCTCCCCACCTGTGCCCGCCCACTGTGCGGGCCCCGCCATGCTTACTGCTTTGGCAGCGCAAAAAACCAGAGTCTTATCTCAGGACTCGCCCCAGCCTCCCGACGTACTAATCCGCATCCACCTCCAGCCACCGGCCTTACCTTGCGGGTTGCCGGCGAGGAAGGCTCCGCTTGCTGAATGGGTTGGAACAGACTCTCTCCAGCCCCTGGCCCACTGCTTTGCTCGGTCCCTCCACCAACCGCGCGCGCCCGCCTCCTCACTGCCATGGCGACAGCTCCCGCCCCCACCGCCGCTGATTGGTCCTGCTTGGGATCGCGGAGGGCGCCGATTGGTTGGGATTGGATCCAGGCCAAGCCAGCGAGGCCGGAGGCGGGAGGTGTGGAGCGCGTAGCAAAGGAGCTTGAGGTAGGCTGAGCCAAGAGGGACGTGGCGCTCTGCTTCGCTGGGCTGGGAGGCCGCGCCTCTTCCTTCCCAGCTTTCTTGGAGAAGCCTGTGGAGCAGGACTTGGGCGGGTGTCCTGTCCGAGAAATCCAACACAACCCTAGGGATAGCCTCCTTCTTGACCACTGGTCTGCCCCTCAGCACCCATACTGGTCGCCCATACTGTCAAGCACTTCTCAACCACAGGCCTCGCGTTGGGAAGGTGGGGGTTCCCAAACCTCCTTTTAGCAAAAATCCTCCTCAAATTTGTAACCGCGCCCCACTCTCGTTCTGCTGATCTCTGGGGTCACTGTGGCCTGACTGCATTTGCCCCACCTTCTCGCACATCCATCTGAGACAAGGGCATTATTCTCAGCAATGTCCTGAGGTTAAGGAAAAAGAAAAGACAAGGAAAAAAGGGCATGCAATGATTAAACAACAAAATGTAGGAAAATATTTCAGAATGCCCTGTGCATATAAAGCAGAAAACAACAGTTCTTCTACCAGTAAAGATTGTTCTGTGATAAAGAAAACTATGAATGTTGATAGGAATACCTCAAACATCCTGAGGAACTTAAAAAGAAATGTCACAGTACTTAATTAGTAAAACCCAAAACTTGAAGGTTTAGCACCAATGGAGAATCATCTCCTGTTGGAAGGGACTGAAAAAACATACTCACTGTATAGTTCAAGGAAAAGAACACAGGTTTAAGAGTCAGAATTGGACCTCAACACTGATTCTATAGCTATCACAAATGCCTGGTCTTGAGTTAGTTACCTAACTTTAGACCTGGTACATTTTCTGGCAGAGTATTTGTTCAACAAGTATCAAATGAGTGAGTTTAAACCAAGACATAAAATGAAAAATGAAGCCAGTGTTCTAGGATTAAAAACTCTGTCCCATATATATTAGCAAATGTTCTCCAATAAGTTATTTAACCTCTCTTCATGCACAGCTTTCCCAACTATAAAATAGAGGCTGTAATAGTTCCCATTGCATAGGGATGTTGAAGATTAAATGAATTTATATTTGTAAAACAGAGGGTACCAGAATAAAGTGCTACATTGCTTAAAAGAATATTTCTCCATCTATACCTTGGGGATCATAATACCAAACTTACTGTAAGGACTCAAGTGATTTATTTAGGATGCTAGAGAGAAGATGCTCAACAGATTTTATTTCCCTCCCCCACTTACCTGCACCCTGTTACCTTGGAAACCCTGACTGATTATTACTGCCACTTCCTTCAAGGGAATATTGTTCGACTCAATTTAAGCAATTGATTCTTTGATGTCCAAGAAATACCTTGATTTCCTTTGGCTAGCTAAGAAACTCCAAAATGAATTTGCTGGAGGCCCAAAGAAAACAAAAGGGAAACAACCCCAGAGAACCAGTAAATGCAAATCCTGCCCCATATTACATCTCTAGGTCTTCCAGGGAGAAAAAGATGAACTTAAGGAGAGTCTGCTTTTTAATACTTCAGTTTGGCCCTAACTCAAATCCTCTCCTAGAATCTCACAGAACATCAACTGGCTAATTCATTACAAAGGTAAGTTTGTGTTCAGAAGAGTACTTACTCCCAAGAGACAGTAGGTGGTCAGAAAACAGAATTTGCTGTGCAAGGTTGTGCTCACTTGTATGACCTTTTGTCTATGGAATCTGAAGAGGGAGGATTACAAGTTCATGGCCAGCCTCCATACTTAATAGGGCCCTAAGCAACTTAACAAGACCCTATCTCAAAATAAAATAAAAAGGACTGAGGATGTAGCTTAATGGTAAAGCACCTTTGGGTTCATTCCCCAGTACCAAAGAAAAAAGAAAAAAGGGGTTAGGATTGTGACTCAGTGGTAGCACACTTGCCCAGCACATGTGAGGCACTGAGTTCGATCCTCAGCACCACATAAAAATAAATAAGAAAGAAACCAGAAATTCTATGGTAAATGCTATATGGAAACAGAGGTCAAACAAACTATGGCCCTGGGATAAGTCAACCCATTGACTATCTTTTTTTTTTTTTGGTACCAGGGATTGAACTTGGGTACTCAACCACTGAGCCACATCCCCAGGCCTATTTTGTATTTTATTTAGAGACAGGGTCTCTCTGAGTTACTTAGTGTCTCACTGTTGCTGAGGCTGGCTTTGAACTCTTGATCCTCCTGCCTAAACCTCCTGGGCCGCTGGGATTACAGGTATGCTCCACCTCACCCAAGCCCAAATTATTTATTTCTTGACCCTTTACAGGAAGAAAAAAAAAACAAAAGTAACCTCTGTGCTGGATAATTCACCCAGAATTATATTTTCAGTTATATTTCTTAACTTTCATCAAATCCTCTAATCTATTTCTCAGTTTTTAATGTACATACAAGTCACATGAAGATCTTGTTAAAGTACAAATTCTGATTTAGTAGATCCATGAGGAAGATGTGATTTTATTTCTAACCAGCTCTAGAGTATACCAATACTGCCAGTTCCTGAATCGACTTGATCCCTTCAGGTTTTATTATCAATTATCTTCTATCATTTGTTCTTTCATTATCCAGCTTAATTTCTCTATTTCATTAATAAAATCACTCCCATACAAACATCGACTCCCTTGCCTTTTTTTCTCTCTGTTGCTCTCTTCTGACAAAAACTCAGCCTTGGATGAATCCAGCACACACTTTCCCTTTATCTGTACCAATGCTACTTTATGTTGTAGGAGAAAAATCATTAGACCTGTGTCTCTAAATTCATGGACATTGACTCTAGACAGGGCCTAACCACTGCCCAGCAACCTTCCAACTTTTCACTCTCATCTTTCCTCTCCCACATCCTCCATGATTGTTTCATACCTCCTCAAACCTCCCATCCTTCCTTCCCACTCATTTTCAGCAGGTGATACAAGTCCTCTTTGAGAACTTCCATATACCAATTAAATCATTCTTGTTTTTAAAAGCAGTGTTTTTAAATAGCAGTACTATTGACAATTTTGGTCCAGTAAGATTTTATCTTAGGGAGGAGGGTATCCTGAGCATTTCAGGATGCCAGCATTCCTGGTCTCTACCTACTAAATACCGCTAACACCCACCACCACCTGTGTCAACCAAAAATATTTGCAGACATTGGCAGATACTGAGGAGTAAAATCTCCACTATTTGAGAATCACTGACTTAAGGCAACAGAAACCATTTTAAGCACACAGAAAAAAAGGAAGTCAATGAGAGGATAATGGAGTAATTCATTGACAGTCCTATTTGGGTCAGGCACTCACTTGTGTGGCCTGGGGAATAGGGTCTGTAACCAGAATCAGGTTAGGAAGAGGTGTTCAGCAAAGAAAAGGATAGCCACATCATGCTTCTTCCATATTCTGTATCTGTATTCAGCTAAAGTGACATAAAGCCTTCAATAAATTAGAGTTTATTTTTCAAAGTTAAATTAAGTCTAGGGGCTGGGAATATAGCTCAGTTATTAGAGTGCTTGCCTCACATGCACAAGTCCCTGGGTTTAATCCCCAACACCACCAAAAAAGAAAGAAAGAAAGAAAAGTAAGTCTACAACCAGGCGTGGTGGCACTCACCCTTTAATCCCAGTGATTAAAGAGGCCGAGGCAGGAGAATCACAAGTTTGAGGCCAGCCTATGCAACCTAACAAGCCCCTGTCTCAAAAATAAATAAAAATGGTTTAGAATGTAGTCCAGAGGTAAAGCACCCCCTGAATTCAGTCTTTATTACCAAAAAAAAAAACAAAAACTGGAATTAGGCAGTTGCTGGCATTGGTATTGGTTGCTAGTCTCATTACAATTCTCTGCATTCTTCAGCTCTGACTGTTCATCTTCAAGTTTATTGCCCTGGGCTGAAAAACAGCTGTCATACCTCCTGACATCATGAATCATGACTATTTTCAAAAGCAGAAAACAGACCTGATAGGGAATGGGGATGAAGGTGGTACTAGTACTAGTAGTAGTAGTAGTAGTAGTAGTAAATCTTTTTTGTAAAAAGTTCCTTTTCACTGAAGACCTCCCCCATATCAGTCCTTCAAACAATGCTTTAAGAACCCTTCCAGTAACTAAAAATAGGTTGAATGACTGTTCTCTTAACTATGATGGGAGTATGATGGGGAAGTTAGGGTCTTGAAAAGGGGAATGCAGCAGTAATGATAGGCTTAGACCAATCACTACAAATCCTCTGGATGGGACACATCAAATTTGGGGTCCTAATAAAAAAGAGGAAGAAGGTCTAGCGTTAGTTAGACAACAGAACCATGTTCACCACAGCTTCCCAGTATCAAATCTACAAAGCCAGGTGATTCTGAATTCATTTCCTCTCTCTTCCTTTTAGCAACAACATGGTTGCTAAATCCCCAACATGGTTGCTTTTAAAATACCTTCCCCATGAATTAAAAAATAGTGATAGAACTAGTAGAGTAAGATACTAATTATATAATCCAGTGCTTTTACTGCAAAATTATTTCAACTTTCTTGTATACTTAAAAACTTTCAAAACAATGTTTGGAATAAAATAACTTCCTTGACCCTAGTCACCTTCCAAATTGTTTCCCTGCTTATTTATCAAGTTTGTTGAAAGTTTTGCTTTCTCTACTCCCTCATCTTTTTATTATTTTATGCCAATCTGCCTTCCATCTCCGCCACTCCTCTGAGACTATTCTTATTAAAGTCACCTGTCCACATCTTACTCCACTACACAGTAGCATTGATTGCTGCTTACTTCTCTCTCCTTAAAACAATTTCCTCTTTCAGCATTCTCTTCTACTTTCTTTCTACTCTTCTAGATACTTCTTTATAGTCTCCTGTGCCCGTTTCTCCTCCATTACCCTATTTCTAAAAAATGAATTGTCTCAAGGATTGGTTTG